CGGTGGCCAGAAACGATCGCAGGAAACTCCAGTGTTTGACACGATGTTTCATGGGTTAAGAGTCTGAGGAATTGGCCCAGAGATTCTGCATCATGTGTACAGTGTACTTGTACACGCAGGATCACATGGCTACATAGTTGCTCACATGCTGCAGGGTCGGATCCTCGTTTATCAAGTGTCCTTCCTCCAAGATGCCCTCGCGGCGATCCCAAATCTCATGCCAAACCCGAAAGGGTCACAAGCCCTTAGACCCTAAACCCTACGCAGTCTTGTTGGTAGGAAGGCTGAACCGAGGAAAAGCGCACTCTCTACTCCTTTTTCAAGCGTTCCGTCTCCGGTGCCTCTTGTTCTGAAGGCCGAGTCTGTTAGTTCAGGGCTCAGAGAAGCTGAAGTCTGAAGCTTAGGCTCAGCTCCACACTGATTTCCGAAGCCGCCATAGCATAAGAGCCCGAAGCCAAGGCTGCGAATATACTTTGGATGTCCTTGCCCTCAACCGAAAGATGTTTGTAGAGTAGACGCCACACGATGATCGGCTGACCTGAAACAGGCGCGCCCTCGTGCGGTTTGGCACCATTCACCTGCTCACTGAGTCGGGCCTGCAAACTTTCCTACGGATGCAATCGCCGCAATCCTGAGTGCTTTAGCCTGGAGTTGAGTAGAAGCTTGGCCCGAAACACTAAGCTTTCCCAAACTGAGCCAGACAAGTCCGACCCAGCGGCGCAGGCTTCAAAGGAATCCCTGTCACAAATTTGGGCCAGAGTGCCTAAGCACAACGAGCCAGGAGCTGCATTTCAGAACATTGAGCTCAAAAGACCGATTACGATTTGCAGTGATGGGCTCCTTCTTATTAATAATAAACACAAAAATAAAATTAGATAACATGAACAACAACAACAGCAATATTACCAATAATGCTAATAATCATAGAAATAGGAATGCATCCCTGAACTTGAAAAAGTGTCGTTCTGATAAGGGGTTCCAGTGGGGCAGCTAGCCTGCGAAAGCGCGCGCTCCAATATGAGACTGCCAGCCATACTAGTTTGTGCATGCTCCAGCCACAACCAGCAGGGGCAGACTTGGTGCCGTTTCAACCGCACCCAGAAGACATCCCCCTTTCCTGGTCCGATGGCAATATGTCCAGTGATGGAACCGCATCCTGCAGATTTCAGTTGCGCATGTGTATGCATGTGTCATGGTTGTCGATATTGTTACTCCTGTTGATGCTGCCATCCTTCGCTGCCGCATTGCCTCAGAGTATTACGGAGAACCGCATCAACAGCACATTTTGACTGTTGCTGTTGCATGGATTCTTTCCCATCCATATGCCTCACAGCTTTGCTGGAGCAAAGCCACTGAACCCCCTCATCTAGACACCGACATGCCAGAAGTTAGCCTTTCGTTGCATTCAGACACAGATCGTTCAGCTCTTGAACTGCTATGCTCGACGTGTCACCGGCCGATGGGGCTGTCACGGCCTGCCAGTCAGGGCTGTTCACGCTCGATCGGCCGTGTGCCAGTTTCAGGCCGGGGGCCGTGTCTCTTCACATCAAGACCACGACAAAAACATGTCTTTCGGGCTACCATTCATTGGATCCACGATTCACAGCCTAGCCGTCTAGCCGATGAAGATCGGCGTCCAAGGATCTCATACTTCAAGATGTTGCGTTTTTCTTTCATGTTGTCCTCAAGGTAGTGGTTCTTCATGGTCATGGGCAGGGGTCCGCGTGCGGTGTTGTTTGCAGCTGGGGCTTGTATTCGTGAAGCCAGCCAGCTTTGCGCGGAATGTCGGAGCATGAGAGTGCGAACCCCCAAAGCTTTGGAACCTCCTTGGCAGACACGGGTCAAGTAAGTTTTCGCCATAATCTGCGAGACTCGACGCATGCCGCAGCGGCACAACGATGTCCCTCACATCCTTCCGCAACTGTTGGTTCACGTCTTGGGGTCCTCTCTTCACAGGGAAGCATCCCCTTTGTTTCCCAGGCAGCCCCTGAAAAGCCTGCACGCCAGTAGATCGTGAGCCCAACGTCCGAAGCCTTATCCCGAAAGCAAAGACTCCAAACCTCAGGTTAGGATCATTAGCGTTGCTACTTTGTTTTACTAGTAGCATACTTCGTATTTACTTAATATTACTCTAATTTATTCCTGAAATCTTCATCTTCTTCTTCTCATTGTTGTCGTTGTTATTACCTCAGGGAAGCTGGAAGTCTCCACAGGCACCGTCTATAGACCTGCTTCCGCGGCCAGCTTGGAACCCTGGAGTTTGCAGGACCTCGGCTTCGGGGTGCTTTTTTTTGAGGTTTCATGAGACATTAGGGACAGTTTTCATAGAAAGGAATCCGCCTAGCTTCCGACAATGCTTAATGCCGGATTTTGCCAGAAGCAGTGCAGTTACAACTCTTGGTGCGGTTATTACAACTGCAAGTACTATCACCGTCTTTGTTGGAGGTGTAGGCTTCACTGTCAAGGATACTTAACACTTCGCGGTAAGCGGCAGCAAGAAACATGCTTGAATCATGGTGGAATGAAGTCAATCGCTGATAGTAGACCTGATAGAAACAGCGATCGTCTCGCAAGGAGCTTCGAGCCTTTGCAGAATCTCAGGAACTGGGACTACTGCAGTTTTGCCAGCTGGAGCCACAAGCCGTGCTCTAAGCTCGGCAGCCCGAGATCCCGGCCCAGAAGACCCATGAATCAAACGCTCGGAGTGCAACAATTTCCCTTTCAACTTTTGTGAAATACGGTGTGCGCCACATGCGCAGCCATCCCCTGTTTGCATACACAGCTGAAGGAGAAGGCCGTTCATGTAGTCTTAGTCTCGGGACAACAGAACAGGGCCGGTTCACGTGCCCAAACTGTCCCATGATTCCGAAGCTCGGCATTGGGACTCGTATAGTGCTAGTACCTACGCTGTCAAGCCTGTAGACTTGGACCCTCGGCTGCCGTGCAGTGTCCAAAACTTCCCAAAGCCCTCGAACGACGGCCTTTGTGGCCTTCTGTAAACCTTAAGCCTTAAGCTTTGAACATACGACCTGCACAGGACCGGGCGACCACACCCAAGGATGCCTCGACCGTGCCTAGATGTGTAATCAAGGCTTGAGGGTTCAGGATTGAGGCGGTTTCGCCTTGCTGAAGCAGCTCGCAGCTTCCCATCTGGGTGGTTGTCAAAATTAGGGTCCCTCTTTGGGGCACCTAAATAATAGGTGCCGTATTATAATAAGGACCCAAAAGGGGACCATAATTTTGACAACCACCCATCTGTTTCCCGTCCCCCCTTCACTCAGATGGGAAGTACCAGAGTTGACTGTTTCCGAGCTGCCTTGCTGCAAGTTGTTCTGTCTTCCTGTCCGCGTCCTGACGGAATGGCAATATCCTGGCAATATCCCCTAAACCCCACGCTCTGCCCCAGTTGTGACAGTTGAAACCTAAAGCCTAGAACCCTAAACCCTAATTCCTCGACCCCCCACATGTGGCTGTTCCCCTTCCCAGGTCGTGGAGTTGCCAACTCCCGCGAAGTCGCCAGCAAGCTTGGCAAAATTTGCTAGGGAACGACAGAGGACTGCGCCGCGGGGTTTCGGGTTCAGGGTGCTTCAGTCTTCTAGTTCCAGAAGGGAAGGTCTGACAGCTCTTTTAGGGCAAGATGCGAGTTGCTCAGCTTGCAGGGTCCGTCCATGTTCCTAAAGATTTAACACCCAAGTCCGCCAAACCTGCACCTCCACAGCCTGTGCTCCCTGTCTGTCTGTCTGTCTGTCCGTCCGTCTGTCCGTCGGTCCGTC